ATAACTAGGAGACTTAAGCAAGTGGATGACAGAACGTGGTCTTGGGGAGAGGAAGCTGAGGGAAGGAACTTGTTGAGAGCTGCAAGGGATAGAAGGAGGTGGAGAGCCATGATCGCCTACATCCTGAAAGGACATGGCACATAAAAGGAAAGAAGGGAAAGATAAACAAGGGAATGACATACCTAGGAGACTTAAGCAAGTGGATGACAGAACGTGATCTGGGGAGAGGAAGCTGAGGGAAGGAACTTGTTGAGAGCTGCAAGGGATAGAAGGAGGTGGAGAGCCATGATCGCCTACATCCTGAAAGGACATGGCACATAAAAGGAAAGAAGGGAAAGAGAAACAAGGGAAAGCAATGCATGGCCTAGGAGACAAGCAAGTGGATGACAGAATGTGATCTGGGAGAAGGAACAAAGAGACAGAACTTATGGAGAGCTACAAGGGATAGGGGAAAGTGGAGGGCCATGATCGCCTACATGCTGAAGAGACACAGCGCATAAAATGAAAAAGTCTATGGTTTGCTAAAGTTATGGTGGTATTTTTAAAGGGAAGATTATTTTTATAAATTTGAAATGAAAACATTTTTTTGCAACCAGTTTGACTATATACCCAAAATATCTGTTTATATCTCTGAGATGAGGTATTATAATTACTTGCATTATTTATATTATTTGAACTGTTATCTTCATCTTCATTGCCATATTCACAACGTTTTGGTGGGTTGTACGCTCGCAAGGACACATGGCCTAGTGGATAACGACGTCGGTTAGATCCAATGACTAGACTCAAAGAGTTGTGAGTTCAATACCAGGCCAAAGCAGTGGTGAACCAAAATTTGGAGTGTTGAGCTAAAGGGAAATATCTGAGAAATCTGGAAGAGGCATGGCACGTGGAACTAGAATAATCTACCCCCATGGATGAAATGAAATAAAGGCTTTGGTTCAAAATTCCAATCACATGTTGTGAATATGACAATGAAAATGAGGATAACCATCTGAATAATGTAAATAATGCAAATATCCAAAACATATTAAAAAAAAAAAATTAATTTATATCTAAAATTCTAAACATCCCCTCTCCTCTATGTGCATGTGTAATTACATCAACATAAACATCACTTTAGTCTGATGAAATCCTACCCTAAAGAATGAAACGTCACACAAAAAATATCTTTTCTGCTTTTTATTATCTCTAAAAATGTTCTTGATATCTAAGAATTTACGTATCATTTTTCTATATTTTGCAATTTATTCAAGGTAATTATTATTATTCTATATTTATTTACTTGTCAAGTTTTTACACCAATTGTAACTTATGGTTTTTACTGGTGATCATGCAAGACATCAATACTCCAGCTTCATCTTCAGTTTTCTGACTTATTTCAGCAATATTGTCATCTAGTTTCATTTTACCTCAGATGACAAATTATTCTACTATTATTGTTGGGAAAGCAAAGATAAGTAATGCTTAGGAAATTTCTAAGAGATAGAAAGAGGTCAACACAGATTAAAGAACAGGCCAAAATAAATGATACAGTCATGATTAAGTAGTAAAAATGGTGGCATAAGTTACAGAAAGCAAGAAGAAAGGATAACAGATGGAGCAAGAGGTTGCTGATAGCAAATGCAGTAGAAGACACTAGACAGAAGATATAGAGGAGTTTACTGATAAGATATGCAAGATAACACAAATATGGTCATCATGAAAAATTTGGTAACGTCTAATGATGTGTATTCTTGTTGCTGTTGCTGTTATATCCCTTGAGCTAAGAATTAGTCAATGTTATTGAAAGGAAAGGAAAATGGGAAGTTGATAGAAATAAAGTAAATAAATAAGCAAAAAGGGTTGTCTTCATATATCAGCAATGAAAATGTCAAATAATCCTCTGCTCATTCTATTGTTAAACCCCCTGACCATCCATTTACATCAGTATCTTTATCACATACCACTTTCCCGTCCTCTTTTTGCTTAGCTCTTTCTGAACCTTTTCTGACTGAGAAGCAACCCTAATACCTGAACTTGTCTTCAGGTAATGATGGGGGTGAGATCCATTAATAGGAAATGACATAATCAATGGCAGGTGACATTGGGGAGTAAATTGTGTGCTTTTCACTAACATTTCCACATTGGTTACTGGTAATTCTCTTGTAGCTGGATGCTGAATTATCACAAGGTTCAATGCTGAATTATACTTGTTAGCACCAGTCAAGGCTGACAATGAGGGTGACAGCTTTTTACAATTATTCCTGCCTTGACAGGTAAAGTATTAGGTTTCTGTCTATATATCTGAGATGAGTTATTATGTACACTATTTACATTATTTGGACTATAGTCCACCATGTTTGTCACCATGTTTATTACAATGTTTCAGCTGTTGTACTCTCCGACCTTCTTCAGGTGGTTGGAATGTTGAACTAAACCTTTTATTTTGCTCACTGGGGTAGACTGTTCTAGTTCCACGTGCTATGTCTAACACATGGCGCAGTGGATAAAGGTGTTAGTTAGATCCAGTGACAGGACCCAAAGAGTGTGAGTTCAATATGTGGTTAAGGCATTAGAGAACTTTCAGAGGGGAATTAACAGGAGATAACTGATATCCATTAGACATGGCACATGGAAATAGAACAGTCTACCCCAGTGAGTGAAATAAAGGGTTCAGTTTGATATTCCCACCACCTGAAGAAGGCTGGAGCGTACAACAGCCAAAATGTTGTGATAAATATGGCGACAAAGATGAGGACAATAATGCGAATAATGTAAATAATGTACATAATACCTCATCTCAGAAATATAGACAGATACTGAAAGGCCGAAACATTGTTATAAATATGGAGACAAAGATGAGGACAATAGTCCGAATAATGTAAATAGTATACATAATACCTCATCTCAGAAATATATACAGATACTGAAGGGCTGAAACATTGTAATAAATATGGCAACAAAGATGAGGACAATAATGCGAATAATGTAAATAAAGTATTAGGTTGTTTAGAAAATAATATCTGAAATTAGAATCAAATTAATGTATTTAAACATTGTTTAAATCAGTCAAAATAAGAATGCTGAACTTTTCCACCATCTAGATACAAGGTTATTTATGCCTTTGCCCTAAAACTTCAAAGAAATCATTGAATGCAGTTTTGTGTTGTCAATTTTCTTGAGATGGTGTGATAGTGTTGAAATTCTGACGCCCATTATTTGAAATATTCCTCTGACATTTTCACATGGATTTTGTCCTACGAGTGTTTTTTTTAGATATTGATTGTTAATTGCAAATGGACATCCTTTACCACCTTGATCTCCAAGACTCATATCCCCACTGAGGAACTTCAGAAATCAATGCTGCACTGTCCAATCACAAGTGCATTCTTCACCCCATGCACTGTTAATGTTGGTAGAAGTTTGAGAAGAATTATGAACAAGCTTGAAGTCATGCAAGAAAAAGAAAATGCACCACTTTTTTTTTCATGTGCAAGATGAGGTGTATATGAATTTTTAAGTTAAATTCTGAAAGTGATTGATATAAAATTAACAAAGCGAACAGTTTAAAAATTAGCAATGTGTAAAGAGAACACCTTAATAGTTACCAATGTGTAAAGAGGACACTTTAATCATTTTTTTTTATCCTGTGACCCATAAGGTCGTAGGGGCACAATGTGTACTGTAGCCTCAGTAGAAGTGATATTTCTTGGGCAAGATAGCCTAATGGAGCCCAACCCTTTCCAGGCTAGCTTTGAATTCAGAGTTTTTACACCTACTAGACCAGTTGCCACTCAAGGCACTGTCCTGCTATTTACCCATAGCTGGGAGGAGGAGAAAAGGATTCATACCTTTCCCAAGTGTATTAGCATGTCAGTGAATGTAATGGAGCTGACTGGAATCCAAACTTGGCTCTCTGAATCTTCAATCTGAGCCGCTATCCATTACTCTACCATGTCTCCTATTTTAATCATTAGCAATTTGTAAAGGGGACACCTTAATCGTTAGCAATGTGTAAAGGGGACACCTTAATAATTAGTAATATGTAAAGGGGACACCTTAATCATCAGCAATGTGTAAAGGGGACACCTTAATAATTAGTAATATGTAAAGGGGACACCTTAATCATCAGCAATGTGTAAAGGGGACACCTTAATAATTAGTAATATGTAAAGGGGACACCTTAATCATCAGCAATGTGTAAAGGGGACACCTTAATAATTAGTAATATGTAAAAGGGACACCTTAATCATCAGCAATGTGTAAAGGGGACACCTTAATAATTAGTAATATGTAAAAGGGACACCTTAATCATCAGCAATGTGTAAAGGGGACACCTTAATCATCAGCAATGTGTAAAGAGGACACCTTAACCATTAGCAATGTGTAAAGAGGACACTTTAATCATGAAAGGGAATGGTGGATTCATGCTTTCACCAAGTTTATGAGTGAAACTAAGTTCTCAAAGCTGGAATTTGAACTTGGTTCACTGATACTATTTTCTATGCCAATACCTGTTACACACTTCTATTTAGCAAATATGAAAAGGAATGGTGGATTCATGCCTACCCCAAGATTATCAGTACTCTGTTGAGCTCTGAATAGAGACTGAAGAAACATGAAAGATGTTTTGTCTTTTTTGTTAGAGTTTGGTCACCAGGTTTGTTTGCGTATGGAAATCTCCAAGCATAAATGATAATGTCCTAAAACAAGGTTTGTAGATTAGTTGGATCGAAGTATTAATTTCATGATTTTGCAAGGAGTGACATGTTAAGGAATCGCATGGAGAAGGTCAATATTCCTTGACTGAAATGGTCCCTTGGATTGGATATGGACGTAAGTGGAAATAAGAATCTGCCAAGGCTACAGATTCTGGAATCGATAAAAACTGCATTTAAAAAGCTTCGCAAAAATAAATAAAATGACGTGAAGTAATAGGCAAACTGATATGGAAAGAAATGTTTGACAGAGGGAAAGGAAAAAAGAAAATATTCAGAGATCAATAATGCTAATGTGGATCATCTGAGTGAAAGAGAGAAAAGGGTGAAAGAGGGAAACAATGAAAGAGAGAAAAGAGAAATAGAGGGAAAGAGAGAGAAAAGAAAAATAAAGAGAAAGAGAGAGAAAAGAGAAATAAAGAGAAAGAGAGAGAAAGGTGAAAGAAGGAAACAGTGAAAGAGAGAAAAGAGAAATAGGGGTGAAAGAGAGAGAAAAGAGAAATAGAGGGAAAGAGAGAGAAAAGAGAAATAGAGTGAAAGAGAGAGAAAGGTGAAAGAAGGAAACAATGAAAGAGAGAAAAGAGAAATAGAGTGAAAGAGAGAGAAAAGAGAAATAGAGGGAAAGAGAGAGAAAAGAGAAATAGAGGGAAAGAGAGAGAAAGGTGAAAGAAGGAAACAATGAAAGAGAGAAAAGAGAAATAGAGGAAAGAGAGAGAGAAAAGAGGGAAATAGAGGGAAAGAGAGAGAAAAGAGAAAAGAGGGAAAGAGAGAGAAGAGAGGAAAAAAGAGAAAGAAAGAGAAACAATGAAAAGAGAAATAGAAAGAAAAGAGAGAGAAAAGAGAAATAGAGGGAAAGAGAGAGAGAAAGAGAAAGGAGGGAAAAGAGAGAGAAAGAGAAAGAAAAAACAATAAAGAGAGAAAAGAGAAAGAGAAAGAGAAAGAGAGAGAAAGAGAGAGAAAGAGAGAAAGAGAAATAGAGGGAAAGAGAGAGAAAGGTGAAAGAAGGAAACAATGAAAGAGAGAAAAGAGAAATAGAGTGAAAGAGAGAGAAAAGAGAAATAGAGGGAAAGAGAGAGAAAAGAGAAATAGAGGGAAAGAGAGAGAAAGGTGAAAGAAGGAAACAATGAAAGAGAGAAAAGAGAAATAGAGTGAAAGAGAGAGAAAAGAGAAATAGAGGGAAAGAGAGAGAAAAGAGAAATAGAGAAAGAGAGAGAAAGAAAAAGAAATAAAGAGAGAAAAAGAGAAATAGAGTGAAAGAGAGAGGAAATAAAGAAAGAGAGAAAAAGAGAAATAAAGAGAAAGAGAGAGAAAAGAGAAATAAAGAGAAAAGAGAGAAAAAAAGAAATAAAGAATGAAAGAGAGAAAAGAGAAATAGAGTGAAAGAGAGAAAAGAGAAAAGAGAGAAAAGAGAAAAAGAGGAAAGAGAGAAAAGAGAAAAAGGTGAAAGACAGAGAAAAGAGAGAAAAGAGAAAAGAGAGAGAGAGAGAAAAAGAGAAAAGTGAAAGAGAGAGAAAGAGAAAAGAGGAAATGAGAGAAAGAGAAAAAAAAAGAGAGAGAAAAGAGAAATAAAAGAGAGAGAAAAGAGAAAAAGTGTGAAAGACAGAGAAAAGAGAAATAGAGGGAAAGAGAGAGAAAGGTGAAAGAAGGAAACAATGAAAGAGAGAAAAGAGAAATAGAGTGAAAGAGAGAGAAAAGAGAAAAAGTGTGAAAGAGAGAGAAAAGAGAAATAGAGGGAAAGAGAGAGAAAGGTGAAAGAAGTAAACAATGAAAGAGAGAAAAGAGAAGAAGAGTGAAAGAGAGAGAAAAGAGAAAATGTGTGAAAGAGAGAGAAAAGAGAAATAGAGGGAAAGAGAGAGAAAGGTGAAAGAAGGAAACAATGAAAGAGAGAAAAGAGAAATAGAGTGAAAGAGAGAGAAAAGAGAAATAGGGGTGAAAGAGAGAGAAAAGAGAAATAGAGGGAAAGAGAGAAAAAGGTGAAAGAGGGAAACAATGAAAGAGAGAAAAGAGAAAAAGAGTGAAAGAGAGAGAAAAGAGAAATAGAGGGAAAGAGAGAGAAAGGTGAAAGAAGGAAACAATGAAAGAGAGAAAAGAGAAAAAGAGTGAAAGAGAGAGAAAAGAGAAAAAGTGTGAAAGACAGAGAAAAGAGAAATAGAGGGAAAGAGAGAGAAAGGTGAAATAGAATGATAGAAAGAGAAAGGCAAGATAGAATGAGAGAGAGAAGAATGAAAGAGAGACTGAAAGTGAAAGAGAGAGAAAAGCAAAATAGAATAAAAGGGAGAGAAGAGTGAAAGAAAGAGAAGAGGGAAAGAAAGAGAAAAGCAAAATAGAGCAAAAGAGAGAAAAGTGAAATAGAATAAAAGAGAGAGAAAGGCAGAATAAAGTGAGAGAGAGAAGAGTGAAAGATAGACTGAAAGCGAAAAAGTGGAAAAGTGAGAGAGAGAGAGAGAAAAGTGAAAGAGAGAGAAAGGGGAAATAGAATGAAAGAGAGAGAAAAGCGAAATAGAGTGAGAGTGAAAAGTGAAAGAGAGTAACTGAGACTGAAAGAGAGAGTGAAAAAAGTGAGTGAAAGAGAAAGGGAAACTGAAAACGAGCATGAAAGAGAGAGAGAGGGAGAGAGAGAGAGAGTGAAAGGCAGAAAAAGTGAAATAGCAAAAAGAGAAAAAAAAGAGAGAAACAGATGAACAAGAAAAAAAATGAAAGATTAAAAAAACAAAAGAAAGAGTTGATTAAAAAAAGAAGAATAAAAATGACTACAACCTGAAGTAAGGCGTATGGTCGAGATCAGATCCTGATTATAGACAAAGGACTTAATGATAAAGAAATCATCAATATCGATAAGAAGAATCCTCGGCCTTAGAGTACCCAAGGTGTGTTCAACTTTATAGGCTGTGAGAAAAAAATAAACAGTGGCTAATATAATTCAGGATCCATAAAAAAAAAAACTAGGCTGATTCCAATACTTGAGACATGATATTTAAGAGGCTGAAGATGCAAAGAAGAAAACCTACCGATGTAAACGTAAAAATGTTTATTTTTGTAACTGGTAAAGAAATAGAAGCAAAGAAATTTGTTAAAAAATTTTTCTAAATAAAACCTGAAAAAAATAAAATTGATGTAAAGGAATTTCAGTTGACATGCAACAAAAATAAAAAATAAAATAAAATAAAACAAGAAGCAACATTTACTCCTGTTTTGTGAGAAAGTGAGAAAATGAGTGTTTTCATTGCTGAAAACATCTAATATTAGAAAATATATCTGTATCTATGTCACCTTCTCAGATATATAGCTATTTGCATGTCTATTTGAGTAAAAACCAGACAAAAATATATAATTCTACATATTGGGAAATGCAAAAGTATATGAAAAACATTTTCTTTATATGAAGGAAAAAGTCTATAGAAGTGATGTCTGACAAACTTATTGTATACCAACTTTTGCAGGCCCCTGCATAAATACCTGCATTGTTTTAATGCAATGTCCTATCAGGATTTAAACCAGTGCTTCTTAACCTTTTTCAGACCATGGGTGATTTTTTTCTTCAAAAAATTCAAATAAACCATTCCTACATTTACTTTTAGGCTGTTCAATTTTTCACATTAAAATATCCAAAATGAATATCTACATAATTTCAAAATTTTCAAATATAATGAACATGTCTAATTTAACAAAATTTTAATTCTTCAAAGTATGAATAATTTAGATACAGTTTTGTGAAATGGCTACAAATTTTTATGGCTATGAATTCTCTGTGGATCACTGGAAATGCTATGTGGACAACCCGTGGTCCACCTGGACCACGTTGAGAAATGCTGATATAGATGATCATAACATCCAACAAATTCTTTTCCCTTATTTGTGAATGACCATACCTTCTTGGGAAAGTTTGTGACGTGTTCAACAGGGTGCAACAAAGTGGCTTGTTTAATTGCATACAAAAAAATGTTACTTTTAATGTCATGTATGATGCACTTTTCAGCCTGATTTTAGAATTTCATAAATTTATAAGAAATTCACAAAAAGAAATTGTTTTTGAATTGTGACAAATAGGTGACCTCAATATAGTCTCAATAAAATTTGATGGACCATTCAACTACATTTTTTTCTTATTACAATAGTGCCTACTGAAACTGACGATAATTCTGACTATATATATATATATATATATATAGGTATTACTTTAAGTTGAACCTTGAACATAGGCATATTTATTAATATTATATATATATATATATATATATATATATATATATATATATATATATATATATGATGGTTCCGTATAGGATACAGTTTCAATTTCTGTTGGAGGACACATTTTCTATGAAAATTTCTCGGACATTGAGGCCGTAAATATTGCTAATACTGTTTATTATAAACAGAGCATTTACTTAAATATTTGTAACTATAAAAAGAACATATAAACATAAAAAATGTTTTTAAAAAATATATATATATATATGATAAAAATTGGAAAAAAATCTTAGATTTTGCCGACGTGTTTTGTCTTCCAACTTTTTCAAGGCAAAAATGAAATCGAAATGTTTTTGTTGTTATAGTTACATTAAAAAATCCAAATTTAAAAAGATAGATGCTTCTGTCTAAGCCTTTTTTCTGGTTAATGTAAATTATCTTTATAGTAAGGGATTATTTTTTTTTTTCCATGTCGACAATATAGTTAAATTCCCAGATGAATTCTGTGGACAAGACTACTATGTGGTCTAACTGGTCATCCAGTTGCCAAACAACAGACATTATTCTGTGAAAAGCCTTTTAAAGTCAAGCCCTCAGTGAGAAAGGTCAACATGGCTAGCAGGCTTTCATGGATGAATGCAAGTAACTAGTGCTAGTTATAATTAGGTTGGGAATCTGATCTGCTAAATAAATAAATGAGGAAAGACTTCTGATTCAAGATGGTTCAGAAGAAATCTGGCCCTTTCTAGAAGATCCTATGTTATTCTTGAAGCCGCTCAGGATGGATCCAGAAGTGTTCCCCCACAGAAAAGGCAAAATATAAAAGGAAGAGTTTTGATATAAATTGGGGATGGGAGATTCTTCCAGCAAGTTTTTTATGGAGGCTATTAAACTGGGAGGAAAGCGAAGTGTGCAGGTTGACCTATGAGTCAGATAGTTGCAGATGGAATTAAGATATTCCCCTGTAGAGGGCAGTTTAATGACCATTGGTCCACTTTCTCTCACTTGGCAATTCACTTGAGTGAAAAAAAACGAGCAAGAAATCAATTGATGTAGTCAACAAATATGTGTCCATGTGTTTTTTTTATAAGATACAAGAACAGAATTTAATGTGACTACATCACGCATCATAGTCTGTCTATATTTCTGAGATGAGGTATTATGTACATTATTTGGACTATTGTTCTCATCTTTGTTGCCATATTTATCACAATGTTTCAGCTGATGTACGTTCCGGCCTTCTTCACGTGGTTGGAATTTAGAACTGAACCCTTTATTTTGCTCACTGGTAGACTGTTGTAGTTCCATGTTTGATGGATGTCAGTTATTAGTTATCTCCTGTTAATTTCCCCACTGCCTTAACCCGGTATTGAACTCACACTCTTTGGGTCACTGGACCTAACCAGCACTTTTATCCACTGTGCCATGTGTCTTTGGGTATCTTGGTATGAATTTATGTGTATTAAAAGCCTAATGTCTTCAGCAACCATTTTTACCAGTGCTCATATTGCAATTTTGCTGTTATCATTGCATGTTTTTACCAGAGCTCATATAGCAACTTTGTTATTATCATTGCTTTTCTCTGGCACTCCTGAATTCTAACCACCTGAAGAAGGCCGGAGCGTACAACGGCTGAAACGTTGTGATAAGTGTGGCAACAAAGCTGAGGACAATAGTCTGAATAATGTAAATATTGTATTACGCATCATGTTTTAGAACAATGAGTGGTATTGTTACAGTTAGAACATGTGGTTTTTTGTAAGTCCTACTACTGTGAGTTAAGGTTGTCCTACTTCTCCAGGCTCTACATTGCAACTCTTTGTCACTCTATCCCATGATGTCATTCACTGGTTGTCATGTGACCCTCATGACTATCTCAACGAGAGGGAGACAATCGCTATCCCTACATTTTTAATAAAATATCCCTGTGGTATTTGACTTTTGCTATGGCTGTAATATCTTGCTAAATGAATAAGGGAATAGAAAAAAATCTTTCATAACATGTTTCACCTATAGAATAAACTTCTTCAAAATAATACTGGTTTTATATGTAAAGTTGGGGAGAGAATAATACAAGAGCTGCTGGTTAAAATTTATATCGAAAAAACTGAAGTATATAGGGAAATTTGTCTATAAAATTATGTAAGCATTTTTTTTCATTTTGTTATTCAATTACCAACAATTAGTCTGATATATAAATTTTTAAATATATATATATATATATATATATATATATATATATATATATATATATAGTGTATTGGGACAAGATCATTATTTAAACATATACTGTTAAATATAACAGACAATGAATGTCTATTATGTTTGATCATGAGCCATTCTAAACTTGTATGGTTATTTTAATTTTGGGTGAAAACTAGTCACAACACATTACATTGCATCTAGACATATGATTATGTTGATTGATAATATTTTGGTCTCCCGTGTGGTATGACGTTATAGAACTGTATAATGAATTTATGACCAGCGCCTGCTATTATGCGACCGTTATCTTCACATAGCAATCTTTGATGGTGAATATCTTTGTTTAAATGTTCATATAACCCTCTGAAGATGTGTCATGTGAGCCAAAAGATTAGATCAAGGAACAGCTTAATAAAAAATATCCAAATGTTTTATTCTTTATTTTCACCCAAAATTAAAGCAACCATAGAAAGTTTACAACAGCTCGTGAGCAAACATAATAGATAGTCATTGTCTGTTACATTTAACAATATATGTTTAAAAATATATATATATATTTTTTATATATTTATATATATATATATATATATATATATATACACATAGAGAGAGAGAGAGAGAGAGAGAGAGAGAGAGAGAGAGAGAGAGAGAGAGAGGCACGGTGGAGTAGTGGGTAGTGACTTGGATTCAGTGCTTGGAGAGCCAGGTTCAAATTCCAGTTGATTCCATTACATTCACTTACATGCTAATACCCTTGGGGAAGGTGTGAATCCTCTTCTTCTCCCTTCAGCTATGGGTAATTAAATGGGTTCTATAACCTTGAATGGCAACTGGTCTAGGAGAAGGACAACTCTGAATTCAAAACCTGCAGAAAGTCATTTGGGGACCATGTGACACGTAGTGCACCAGGTCTCTGTATTCGGCCCTTTAAAAAGTGTGGTTGGTTCTGCACAAAGCCTTCACTACCATAATCAAATCATATTTGCTGGTGTCGGGCTGTCGGTTTCCTAGGAACTGAGTTGCTTGAACCTTATACGTTGAATATGATGGCAGAGTCCACCATCCATCATATATGTATTCTATATATTGTGTATGTATTGTCTTTTGCAAGATTTCATCTTCCCCTACCCATATCACCACTTCTAATGTATCTAAGTTGTCACAATGTTTCACATCCCCATTAGATTAATGTTTATCTTGAGATTTTGGCCTTTCAATTAAAACAAAATAAATAATAAAATATACATATTTTTTCCTCAGTTTCTTCTTTAAATAATTTATAATGTTTTAAACTTAATACAGATTAAATTTAAAATTGGTAATTTTTAATTTTCAATTTTATAGTAAAATGCAATATTAATTAGAATGATTTTTATTTTAGTCTAACCCTATTATTATAACCAAGGTTCATTGTCATGTTTTTTGAATTTTCATATACTTCTGTTTTGATTGGTCATTGCAGCTTATGTTACAAAGTTTCCCCTATCGATGGGTGTTTGCTTGATTTGAACCTTTTAAAATCTTTTATTCTACATTCAACACTATCACTTGATAAGACACTAGAAGTGTTGAAACAAAATGGCTATATTTGTAGTGATTTTATGACATATTTATGTTATAATTTTCGAATAAATTATACTTGTTCTACTCTGTATTGAGCACTCTTTTAAGAATAGTATTTTTTGGCTATTGGAATTTATTCTGTATACAGCAATCCTATACTTGGATATATATATATACACACTTCTATGACAGATATAAAAAAAATAAACATCAAAATAGTAGTGGATAAATGAATGATAAAATTGAAGAGTTTATTAGTCACATTTCATTCAAACAAGAACATCTTGTGATTAATAATGGTTTTATTGAAGGAATCAATATTATATCTAACAATTGGAAATGTTGGGTGGAGAAATGTGACAAATGCCTTTATCTTTACAGAGAATCTCGGTATCATTACCAACTCAGGGCAAACTTTAACTTGTATTTCGAACTGTAAACTACAAGAAAACAGAATGCATGGTCATCAATAAAAGGATGAGCCTGAAATGTGGTTTGCAGGTCAGGAAGACTAGAATCAAGCAGAGGCAGAAGTTTAAATATCTGTGAAGTGTTCTGACAGAGGACAGTAAATTTGACACTGAGAACCGTAAACATATTGGGATAGCCAAGGATGCATTCCAAAATCTGGGCAGAGTATTTCGAGATAGGAGGAGTTTTTTGGTAACGAAGAAAAGAATACTGAGCTGTTATGTGACTCTATGGCAGCAAATGTTGGATGATTCTGTTGCAGAGTAGTTTTCACAGTGGAGGCTTGTATTTCAAGAAGTCGTCCTAAATTAGGTTCGACGTACAAAACATTAGGAACTTGAAATAAGAGTTAATGATGCAGCAATCTAGTTGTCATGGTTGGTACTTCAATGTCCGATATCGACTGACTCGCTCAACAGATTCCCTCAAAGATGGAGAAGAGACTCGAGGCGACTGAGATGTGGTTCTAGAGGAGGATGCTAAGGGTATCACAGACTGAGCATGTGAGCAACAATGAAGTCTTACAGAGGATGCAAACAAGGAGGAGGCTTATACTTAACATCAGGAAGAGGCAGCTGAAGTTTCTGGGACACATAATGAGGAAGGAGAGCCTGGAGAATCTGATACTCACTGGTTGAAAAGAGGGAAAGAGAGACAAGGGAAACCAATGCATGACATACCCAATGAACTTGAGCAGGTGGATGACAGGACGTGGTCTGGGCGGAGGGGGAACCAGAGGGAAGAAACTTGCTGAGAGCTGCAAGGGATACAGGTAGGTGGAGAGCCATGATCACCTACATCCTGAAAGGACATGGCTTATAAAAGGAAATAAGGGAAAGAGAGACAAGGGAAAGCAATGCATGACATACCTGGCGGACTTAAGCAAGTGGATGACAGAACGTGATCTGGGGAGAGGAAGCTGAGGGAAGGAACTTATTGAGAGCTGCAAGGGATAGAAGGAGGTGGAGAGCCATGATTGCCTACATCCTGAAAGGACATGGCACATAAAAGGAAAGAAGGGAAAGATAAACAAGGGAATGACATACCTAGGAGACTTAAGCAAGTGGACACGGAACGTGATCTTGGGAGAGGAAGCTGAGTGAAGGAACTTGTTGAGAGCTGCAAGGATAGAAGGAGGTGGAGAGCCATGATCGCCTACATCCTGAAAGGACACAGCACATAAAAGAATACTGAGTTGTCACAAGACTCTATGGCAGCAAATGTTGGAGATTCCCTCAAAGATGAAGAAGAGACTCGAGGTGACTGAGATGTGGTTCTAGAGAAGGATGCTAAGGGTATCACAGACTGAGCACATGTGCAACAATGAAGTCTTACAGAGGATGTAAACAAGGAGGAGGCTTATACTTAACATCAGGAAGAGGCAGCTGAAGTTCTTGGGATGCATAATGAGGAAGGAGGGCCTGGAGAATCTGATACTCATGGGTTGAATAGAGGGAAAGAGAGACAAGGGAAAACAATGAATGACATACCTGGTGGCCTTAAGCAAGTAGATGACAGAACGTGATCAGGGTGAGAGGTGGCAGAGGGAAAGAACTTGTTGTAGAGCTGCAAGGGAAAGAGGGAGGTGGAGAGCTATGATCATCTACATCTGGAAACAATGCAGCACATAGAAAGAAGAAAGAAGTTCTCACCCCACCTTTTTCCCCTGCTGTTTATATATCCGATTGATTCCATCAAGAAAACTGCCGTTCCTCTTGGAATTAAATAATTTTCCAATATTGCTTTTCTTTTGTTCATTTCATTTGTATCTTGTGTCATCAACACTGTCTCAGAAAAATACTAAATATTCATTGCTTTTGTCGCTCAATATTGTCCTTCAATGAATGCATAATATGTGGAGCTGATTATCCGCAAATATTGACTATGGTGAGCAGGACATCTAGTAATACTTGGAGATGATTGCTTGCCTAAGAAAACATTCTCTGGAGAACTTAAAGCAGTAAGTGATCTTAATAATTTGACAGTAACACGAACCCAGGAACTGTTAAATATTCTCTATCAGAATTTGTTTCTCTGGTGTGTGTAAAGAAATATGGGAACCATTCTGATACCATCAGTTCCCAACTCAGCATCTATGCTGATAACATAACTATTTACTCCTGTCCTAATACTAAGTCTGATCAGTTCGATAAAGTCAAATTGGCAGCTGATTCCAAAAATCACCTATAATCTGTTGTTAAATGGGGCAAGAAAAGGCGTGTTAATTTTAATGTCCCCGAAACAAAACTGCTCCCTTTTGATCACCTTAGAGAATCTTTTTTTTCCTTCTATCATCATGGCTGATTGGAGGTGAGTGACTACATGCAACTCTATTTACATTATTTGGACTATTGTCCTTATCTTTGTTGCCATATTTATCACAACGATTCGGCCATTGTATGCTCTGGCTTTCTTCGTTGGTTAGATCCAGTGACAGGACCCAAAGAGTTGTGAGTTCAATACTTGGTTAAAGCAGTGGAGAACTTGGAGAGATGAATTAACAGGAGACAACTGATGACACCCATTAGACATGGCATGTGGAGCTAGAACAGTGTACCCCAGTGAGCAAAATAAAGGGTTTAGCTTGACATTCCACCCACCTGAAGAAGGCTGGAGCATACATCGGCCAAAAAGTTTTGATAAATATGGCAACAAAGATGAGGACAATAGTCCGAATAATGTAAATAGTGTACATAATAACCCATCTCAAATATATATATATATATATATAATTTAAGCATCTCACCTCAAGCAAAGCAGGAGTGCCACTAGCATGCAAGGGGAAATATAGACAGATACATGCAACTTCTTATACTGAAGTTTTCTGCTAATATGAAGAGGTAAAGTTATATTGAATCAATTGCTAGGTCTGCTGCTAAGAAATTTGGTTTACTGTATTGTGCCAGAAAATCATTCTCACTAGAATCTATCTTACACATTTATAACCATTCATCCAGGCATTGAATATTTCTCTCATATCTTGTCTGGTGCTTCTGCTTCTAAGAAGAATCTGCAATGTTATCAGTCCTGACCTGTCATCTCAGTTTCAATTACTTTCTCACCACCTTTTCTATAAATACTTTCATGATAAATGTTCTGATTAAATTTATTCTATAGTATCAACCAACAAACCAACTAGACGTTATGAATTTAAGTGCAATACTAGATTGGTGGCAAGGTCTCATTATTTTACAATTGAAATGGCTAAATGTAACCGTAAGCTCTATGCTAACAGTTTCTTCTCTTGCACTTCTCGCTTGTGGAACTCTCTTCCAGCTTCTTCTTTGCCAGTCAATTTTAATTTTCAAAAATTTAAATGCAATTTCAATTTTTGACTTAAGTTCTGTTTTTTTATTATTCCCACTCTTTAATAATGTTTTTTTTTTCTTAGACTTTTTCACATTCAGTAACCTGTGCCTTTTCTATAAATACTTTCATTGTTCTGATGAACTTTCCTTTATGGTACCTCTACTTTATGAATTTAAGCGCAGTACTAGATTGACAATTAGGTCTCATACTTTTACAATTGAAATGGCTTCATGTAAATGCAAGTTCTATACTAACAGTTTCTTCACTCCCTCAATTCCTAGAAATTTTCATATCAATATGATAATTTGATACTAGAAGGATTTTACTTGAAGTCATGTTTCAATATTTGC